TTTAAAATATGAATTGGATATAGGCAAGGGAATAATTTTATTTCAGCCCATTATAATTATATATATATATATATATATATATATATATATATATATATATTATATATATAGGTATATACTTACATAATATTTTTATATTCATAATTTTAATTACTATTTTTATTATTATTATTTTATTATGAAGGATTCGTAGAAATAAAATGCATTGTATATATTTTTTATTATATGATTTATTTTTTTAACTTTTTTAAACTTGTTCAAGGTTTTTTTTTTGGATTGGTGGCAATGTACACTTTTCGATTCTAATGATGTCCGTGCCTTTCAGAAACCCATGTGTGGTACATGCTATAGAGTAAACATATAATTCCTCCTTTGCTGCTTGCACTTGAATATTTTCAGTGAAAAGGTTCTCTTCAATACATTCGATATCCAGTGTATTGAGCTGGAAAAAGGAATATTTAAATATATAAATTACAAGTTTAATATGCACATATTAAACTTGTTGCTCATTGTAATTGTTGTAGTTTATAAATGTTTGCATAGAAAATGTCAAGACAAGAAGAGGCCATTGTAATCAGATAAAGTTACTTTCACATAAATCTAAGAAGCTTTCACAATTCAGAAATTTCCAATAATTTTTGAACATAATTATCATTGATACCTAAGATAATTAAGTACACTGTAGCAATTTTTGATAGAAGGTTGGGAGGATAAAAGTATATTTTGTAAAGTAGCCAATTATCTATTGGAGTCTATGTTCATGTTCTACTGCTGGGCACAGACTGTCTCATTTCTCAGAGGGGTATGAAACAATGAGTTGGGCAAGGTGCTTATTGGTAGACTACATCTTTAAAATATTTTTATTCCTTAGACACACAGATTTCGTCACAATGTTCCAGAACATGATAAATTAGCACTTAAAATTGGAATTAACATTAATTCATTTATTTCAGGGTGTAGACAGAGATCAAATTTGCTCAAAAATATAAACATATTACTAATACTAATAAAAATATTATCTGAATTAAAGTTTTAGAATGGCGATTGTTTTGCAATTTCAATTTTACATGATTATTACCTTAATTTTTTTACTTCATTGGGAATCACATGGTCATCATTTAGTTTATCTAACAAGCGCAATTGAGTATGCTTGCAGTCCTGTTTAGTACACATCATCTTGCCATTTTGATACATTTCCATCAGTTATTATGTGTTTTGACAGCAAAATTATTCCTCATACCTTTTTTTATGATGGCTGATCAAATATCACACTAAATTTATTTGAACTGTATCATCTGAAATAAAAACATAAAAGATTGTTTGTCATTGTCATTCAGACATCCTTGATTTTGTAATTATTAAGACTAGAGGTGTGCAATTGTGCATAAAATAATGTTGACAATTAGTTATTTAAAATAATAGAATTCCTCATTTACTTCAGCCATTAACTTAAAATTTTAATAAATTATTATAAAAAGAATTTATTATTGTTTCATTCATCATTCATTCATTGCAGACTATCATAAAGCTACTGGTAAACATAGGCCTTCATAGGTTATCATATAAGGTGTACATTTTCCATAGTTGTAACACTTGGCAGACAAGTTGGCAACCAGTTTATTATTATTACTAAGTTGTTATCAAAGAGATCACTTGAAACGCCAGGAATTAAGTAGTTTTATTTAAGTACAGTACTCCCGTACATCTTTATTATAATTTTTTAAATTTTATATGAATACTGAATATACTGAGCAGTTACGTTTATTAAGGAATAATTAAATGTACATACCTTTGTCATCTTTGATGATAAACCTAACTCAATTTACTCCAAAGATTAGTGTTGAGTTTATTCAACCCTTTTTTAGCCTTATTAATGTCAGATTTAGCAGTATGAAACCCTTTATTCAAAAATTTTGTGACCAAGCAGGCTTCTTGAAATGGTTACTGGAATGCAGCATACTTTTAAGTTTGTCACAGTTTATAAATTCCAACCACTTGTTTCTTTGGCCTTCGTCAGACTCTTCTTACTTGCACAATTGGGAATGACACACTTAAAAATACATTTTAAAACTAAAATTTTAATACAAAATACACTAAAGCTAAAGAAAACGTCCCGTCGAAATATATAAGCTATAAAACAATAAACATCCTTTCGTAAAATAGTAGTAAAATGCCAATAAAACTTTATTTATAATTTATAGTTAGTTCATACTTCATAGAAAAACAAAATGAAAATTTCCAAGAAAACTTCTAACTTGACAGCTACGCGACAATAACATGACAAAATGGCGACAGCGGGAAGGGGCAAGAGATGGGAGGGACGAGGGAAACGTCATGTTCTGGATTGCTCACTGCATTTCATACGGTCAAAGATTTTTGCTCAAAGATTACCAGCCGTGGCCCAACCACAGTTTAAAGACAGGCCCAACTTTAGAGCTTGCTAGATCAAATTATCGATTCACAAGTATCGCTGTACGATAAAAATCGATGTTCGAAAATATCGATGTTTTAGTTAGCAACATAAACAATCTAGGATTATTTTATTTATTATAAGTATTTAGTACGGTGACTATAAAAAATATACTATAAATTCCCAGTATTTTCTGAGTAAACTCGGCAAAAAAAAACTTTGTCACAAGTTTTTCTTTTAATCTGTTCCTTTGTTGATACAGATATTGACCAGCTTTTAAAAAGTCTTTGCGAGCTGTCAAAGTCTCTGTGCAACACAAATGTTTAATGGCTACTCGTACTTTCTTCAACTTCAGTTACGTAGATTCTAGGATTTGCCTTGAATATATCGGTTAGAGAAGTTACGGAGGTTCGATTCCGATTCCGAAAGTTCGGAACTTCCGATTGATTTTGCACTGTCGATTCTGATTTCGGTTTCGTTAAATTTTAATCGAAAGTTATATATCGGAGGTCGATGCATAGTGGTGGCGGCGACCGCCATCAGCGTGTACAAACAATTTTACACTTGTAACCCCGGGAACCTCCCTCCTCCCGTGCCTTCTGTCGATTACTCTTTAACTTGATGTTTTGTTTCGTATTTGGCAAAGGGTCACACCAACATGTGCAAATTTGACAATAAAACCTATATAGCTTTAAAGCTATGTTTATGAAAATAACAATAGTTTTTAATAATAAAGCTCCAAAGATAAGTTACTAATAAAAGATTACGAAAAGTATACAGCTTTACCATTGATTAGTAATAAGGCAGTAATATATAGGTAGGTATTAACTGACCGAACCACGAAGTTGCACATGATTTACAACGACATAAAATGAAAAAACTTACTTAAACTTATTAATGCAGTGAGTATTAATCAACTCGTACTGTTATTTAGCGTTGGCTACGTAGTTCGTCAGTGGTTACAAACATACGGTCCTAGTTTTACTTACTTTTGAATAAACTGATTGCGGTATTACGATGGTAGTTGGTACCTATTCTGTTTTGAAAATGCAATGGTCGCAAGCATTCAATGCGTGTAATACTAAACTGATTTTAATGAAATTTTGCATAAAGGTATAACATATAAGGATTTTATCTTCTCATATCGGACTTTTATTCCCAAGGAGCGTGATGTAACAGAAATAAAAAAAAAGAACAGAAAATAAAGGTTACTGATAAATAAATAACATGACAAGAAAAATATGGCAAGTGGGACTCGAATCCACGATCTCGACGATTTTTATGACTGTTCGACACGAAAACCCGTTTGGGTTTATAGTGTATCATCCGGCAAGTTGAAACATATTATTGTTACTTAACTTTAACATATTGGTATTGTATATAGGTTAACAAAGAGCCAAAGGTTCGCTATTCCTTACTTCACTATCGATTTAATTCTTGGATTTATTTTAACACATACTGTCACAGCAGTTTGTCTCTGATCCCTGATCAATCGCACTCATCTTATCAACGCCACACGCACACAGGCGCATTACGCTGTGTAGTGCAATGCATATCGATCTTGACCTTGCAAATAGCGATACGAACGTATTATGCTTTAAGCTTACACGGCACACGCATCTATTAGCATACCTTTACATACATTTACGTGCGCATCTATTAACAATGCTAAAGGTATATTACGATATTTTACACACACATACCAAGATAAGTAGGTAAAGTTATAGGTATAGGTTGTGCCACGAGAGTTATGTATAAGTTATAAGCGCTGACCTTGACTTGAATACGCAGAGTAACAATTTAGGTAATTTTTTGCCTTATACGAACGACGTAAGATGGGCAGTCACCTCGACCACTTAGCCAAGCGCTCCTATTTCATGAAAAGGTAAGTAGGTATATAAAACCCAAATAGTTATTAACACTGGTGTGTTGTGTGGTGTGGCTCGTAAACATTTTGTAGGTAACAATAGGTATATATGTAAACAAACAATAATGAAACTTATATCAAAATGATCTTCACAACAATAAACCCATTGGCATGTTGTGCGTACGCGCTTCATCCATTCTTATCCGAGTTTTGATTAGTTTTAGTAGTGTTTTATTTAACGTGTAACAAATTTATTTGAATTGGACAATGAAGTCAAATTCAAGTGCCATTTGGAATTATTTCAATGAAGTTTCTGAGAATAAGGCAAAGTGTAAACTATGTTAGAAAATATATTCATGAAAGGGAGATGCGACTACTTTGTTAAAAGGTCATTTAAAGTCTGTGCATGTCACTGAATTCGAAGACTCCAAAAAATTTGAAACTGAAAAGAAAAATACAGTGCAATAGACCTGCCCCTAAGAAAAAATTAATTATAGATGTTATTTTCGTTTGAATTGGTTGATATACCTAAAAAATATGAAGTACAGTATTAAATTCTTGAATTTCTAACTATTTTGAACATTATTTTGTGTGTAAAAAGTGCAGTGACGAAAATCAATCTGTGCGCGTGGTGTGAAGTGCCGAGCGCGCATCGCACTCTAACGGGAGCTAGCTATATCTGTTTTGTTGCACGGTGTTATTATAACGTTCTTGGAATTCAGAATGAATTGTCTGGCATGTGGCAGTAACAGTGACGTTGAGGAGATGATTAAATGCAATGGATGCAAGGTAGGATACCATTATAGATGTGTGAATATTACCTCGGCTGCGTTTAGGGAAGAACGAGAACATTTGAAATGTACTTTCAAGTGTGATTTTTGCTTAAACATAACCCAGCGTATACGGGTAACCGACGACACACCAGTACGTGGTGTTCGCACCGCCTGCCTCGTTGAACATAACCAATCTTTCGAGGGAAATGTTTCTCAGGCGATAGCAGAGTCGTTAACATTGGACGAGATAATAGATAAAGTTGAGAGAGCAATCATGGCAAAAATTTGTACTTTTGAAACCAACATTATACAAGAAATTAAAAACACTGTGGCAGTACTTGCGCTAGAAAATAGTAAATTAAGGCAGGAATTGAAGGATGCTAATATGAAATGTAGTTCTTTTGAACAACAAATTAAATGTTTAAAAGCTAAGAGGCAAGTGTTAGAGATAAGTGAGAAAAATGAAAGTTATGATATCAGTACCGAATGCCAAAATCGACAATTAATATCTACAATACCAGAGTGTACGTCCAACATCAACAATAAGGGCTATCACGCGCGGGCGACCGCGCTGTCGAAGCCCCCGGAAACAAATTATGCGGCGGCGGCGGCCAGAAAAGCAGTGGATACGAAAGTCGGCGATAACGATGGTAATGATTGGATAGAAGTCAAAAATAAAAATAAAAGGAGGAGTAACCTTATACAGAGAGGAGGTAACAAATCAGTTATTTTTATAAAAGCAGTTGAACGTAGAAAATTTTTACATGTTTGGAGACTGGAAAAATGCACTACAGAGGAAAATCTACAGGAGTTTTTAAAAAAAGTACTGGGAAACGAGTCAGAAATCGTTATTGAAAAATTAAAACCTAAAACTGTGCGAGAATACGCGTCGTTCAAGATTGGTGTTACGTTAAGCGATTATGACAAGCTTTGTGACCCAGAAGTATGGCCAGTAAATGTAGAATTCAGTGAATGGATTTGGTTTCGCCGCTCAACCAAAACAAACAAATCGGAAACCGAGTAGACATTTTAACGTTTTTTACCAAAATGTCAGAGGACTGCGGACGAAGACCACACAATTTTTATCATTATTAGAATCATCAGGATCTGATCTATTCGCTATTACTGAAACTGGCTTAAATGAACCGATTCAAAACTCTGAATTCGTGGTCCCCGGATACCAAATATTACGATGTGACCGGGCAGATGGGCGCAAACAGGGAGGCGTACTTTTAGTGGCCAAACAGCGGTTCGAGTTGCGACGAGTGACTGTGTCAGGTGATTTTAATATTGGCAGTCAAAAGTTTGAACTAATTTGTACTGTTGTTTATATTCAAAACCATTTTTTATTTACTTGTTGTGCCGTGTATATACCGCCGCAGGCTGACGAGAACGAATATATGTTAATGTTTAGCATATTAGAAAAACTATGTCTAAAATATAAAACTAATTTAGTTATATTAGGGGACTTCAATATGTACTCTTGTAATAATAATATATCTAATTATTACGAATATTTCATGGCCTTCTGTGAATTCACTCAGTGTAATGGGGTACCTAATTGTAACAATAGGCTGTTGGACCTCGTGCTGTGCAGTAGCGGCGGCGCCTCGGTAAGTGCGGCGGACGAGGGCCTGCAGCCCGTGGACGCGTACCATCCACCGCTTGCCGTGCGCATCGAGCTCGGAGCACGTGCGCCGCAGCTTCCCCCCGACACCATCATACCTTCTGGATCGCCGTGTATGCGATACTCGTGCTCACGATCCCCGATAACACGGAAATTATGGAATTTTAATAAAGCCGACTTTATTCAGTTATACAATTTATTTACAAAAATAGACTGGAATGAGATGTACTATATACAAGAGCCGGACGACGTTCTAAATTTATTTTATGATAAGATATATGATATTTTTGTCTGATAAGTGTGTTCCCCCAAAAGAATATATAAACTCAGTCAATAGGAGATATACTTATCCGGTTTGGTACACGCCTGAAATAATTAAGGATATAAAGCTGAAATATAAATTACATAAAAAATATAAATCTAGCAAAGCGCGCCATGATTACGAGGAGTTCTCTCGATGTAGGGCAAGAGTTAAAGCCGAGACTGCACGAGCACATGACCAGTATCGCGACCGCGTGCAGGGACATTTGGCAAAGGATCCGCGAGCGTTTTGGGGGTACATAAGATCTAGGAAAGGCGATTCGAATCATCGAAGGTTAATCAATGACGGATGGGTACTATCAGAACAAGAATGTGCCAATGAGTTCGCTCGGTTCTTCCAGTCCGACGCCTCCTAAGCTGAGCGTGGCGGCGGCAAGCATAAGTGCGGCGACGGGTGCGGTGCCGGGTGCGTGGGCGCATCTCGCGTGCTTACGTCCGGCTGACGTACGGCGCGCACTTGCACGTTTGCCGCTGAAGTCTTCGGCGGGGCCCGATGGTATTCCGGCGTTTATTTTTAGGGACTGTCGTGCAGTATTAGTAAAGCCGTTGCTACACATATTCAATGTTTGTATTAAGGCTGCAAAGTTTCCTGATCGTTGGAAACTCACTCGGGTAGTACCCGTGCCGAAAGGTAGCAGAGGTTCAGCCCCCAGTGATTATAGACCCGTGGCGGTATTATGCACTCCAGCTAAAGTTTTTGAGTCGACCATTCACAGTAGTTTGTACCCACAAATAAGTGCTCTGTTTTCCGACGCACAGCACGGCTTCTGTCCCGGGCGAGGGACAACGGGGAACTTGCTCGAGCTAATGACACACATAGTACCAACGGTGGATGCTGGCCAACAAGTGGATGTTGCCTATTTTGATTTTAAAAAGGCATTTGACACAGTAGACAATGACGTCCTACTAGCGAAGATGGCTAGCGTCGGCTGCACACCGCATACGCTATCATTTTTCGCCTGTTATTTAAGAGACCGATGTCAGTATGTTGACTGCAGCGGACGGCTTTCCGAACCCTACTTTACAAGATCAGGTGTCAGTCAGGGCAGTAATTTAGGGCCTTTTCTCTTTATTCTGACAATCAACGATTTGCCTGAAGTAGTCAATAAGTCTACACCCTTGTTATTTGCCGAATGCTGATGACCTGAAATTAGTTTTAAAAATAAAGCAGCGGGCGGATCATGACATGCTACAGCAGGATATAACAAAAGTCGTAGAGTGGAGTTTGGAAAATAAATTATATTTCAACGCGGAGAAATGTTCTATTCTATCATTCAGCCGTGCACATAACCCGAGTCATCATCAATACTATATGGATGGAACCCCTCTGCAACGAGTTTTTGAGGTTAATGATTTAGGTGTGCGATTCACTACCGACATACAATTTCGAAAACACGTTACTAATGTTTGTAAAAAAGCATACCGCAACCTAGGGATGGTCTTACGGCTAGCCAACAGATTCACAAACATCTGTGATCTGAGAGCATTATACGAGGCACTCGTAAAAAGTCATTTAGAATGCAATGATGTTGTTTGGTCACCACATGAAGTCAAATATAAATTAATGCTAGAACGTATTCAGAACAAATTTGTGAGATTTATGTATTTAAAACAGTATGGTGTGTGCCCGGGTTATCCACTTTTGTACCCTACTTTATTTATACTAGGCATGATAGGCTATTATAAACTAGAAATAAGAAGGGAAGTTGCTCTCGCCACTTACTTACTAAAAGTGATCCGTGGTAAAATACATAACCCAGGTATTTTACAGATAGCTGAGCTGTGTGTACCTAATGAGTACGTAGGAAGACGGCGGCGGCCGCCGCTCTTGTTGGTGCCGCAAGCGCGCACCAACTTGCTACAGCACGCGCCTTTGACGCGCGCGCTTCGTGCACTTAACGTGGTCTCACAACATACTGATTTGTTCAGCTGTACTCTGAACGAATTCACAAAGGCCGCTTATTGTAAAATATCTTTAAGTTGTGCTATGTTTGTCTAGTTTCTTAGTTTGTAACTGGACTATTGTATTAGGTAATACACCTGTGATGATAGTTGTAAGCGGTAAAATAAATAAATAAAAAAAAAATAAAAAAAATCTATTCTGCCTCCACCTCCGATTCCGGTTCCGATAAACAAAAATTTAAAAACTCCGTTTCCGAATTCGGTTCCGATATAACCACTTCCGTAACATCCCTAATATCGATGTTCCAATATTATTCTGGCAACATCGATATCTCGCAATATCGATGCTTTCGAGGACTTAATATTGATGTTTTCCCGCTAAGCATCGATGTTTATCTACCATCGATGAATATCGACATCCCTAAAATAAAGCCCAATTACGATTTCTATAGTCTTTACGTTGTAGCATAATGCGGATCTCTTGGTAGAGAGTAATGGGGAACACAAAAGGGTCAAAATATTACTACCAAATACTATTAAAATCGTAACAAAGATCAAGTACATTATATTAGTTTTTATTTCACTTCAATACATGCAGTATCTCCGAAGTTATAACGACGAGAAATTTAAGCCCTTTTTGAATTTCAGAGATTACGCGCGCTCACATTATGGCGTCACACTCCCGCAGATCGCGACCGCGAAACAAACGCGGCGCTTGACCAAATTACGCGGGTCTAGTTTCATTTTCTTTCGATGATCTTTGTATTCCTACTATTTGTATTTCAAAGAAATAATATTATTCTCTAAATCCGATTACACTAAAGTGAAACGTGTAGTGCTAGAATGGAAGGTTTTGTAAAAGGACAGTCGGACAATCTGCCAAGAGTGGATAGTTTGACGGTAATACTTACCCAATATGGGTGGCGATAAAAAATACTAGGTACCTACTCGTAATCCACATCTCAAGTTTGTCGATGATTATTTTGTGTTTTTAGTTTAAACTTACAGAAAATGTCAATATTTACCCATATACCATATAATAGATGTTGGTAAGTCCTACTACCTAGGTATTTACGTAGTTATCAGTTTTCTAACTAGGCAAATAGGTACTTATTGTTCTATTGCTATACTAAAACAGATACTTACCTATTTTTGATTAATTTTATCCAATGCTCGCTTTAGTTTATTCATTTACAGTTTTTTTTTAAATTAAAACATTTAAAAAAATCAGTGCCGATTAACTTGTGGGTCGCAAATTTTTACTTACCATTTTTATTGGTTATTTATTAATGCCCGACGCAAAAAGAGGGGTGTTGTAAGTTTGACCGCTATTTATGTCTGTGTGTCTATAAGTCTGTCAGTGTGTCGGTATGTTTGTAGTACTATAGCTCATAAATGGGTGAACCGTGTTGTTTTTTTTAATTTGTATTTATTGTTGTTTTTTAATAGTGGTTTATAAACATGTTTTATCTAAATCGGTTAAACCGTTCTAATAGTACATTAAAAACGTACGTTTTGAAAACCTAAATATAAACCGTGTTTAATGTATGTACGTTGCTATCGTTAAAGAAATACAACGAAAACTAAGGATAAATGCGGGCCGCGAGTTTGATACCACTGACATCGGGCCGCGAGTTTGATATTGTAGTAGGAAGAAAATATATTATATTTATGTATATTTTGCCATATGTGTATTTTGTGGCCCGCCAATACAGTCATTTGAAGAGCACTGCACTGCGCTGCTACAAGGTGCTAGGTAGTTGGCAACTTTGGCATGATACCTATCTATCTAAACTATCAAAGTAGACAAATAGGTATGTTTACTAGGGCAAGGATAGGTAGAGAAGAAGTATAAGCTTATTACTTACAAAAATACTTACATCGAAATGGTCTTCACAGCAGCGCAAATTTTTAGGGCCTATTGAATAGACTATTGAATAGACTATTGAATATTTTTATTTTTGGGTCCTCAGGCACATAAAAAAAACGTTTATCAGGTGTTTTAACTGTTGAATTGAAGCACTGAGGCACAATACAGTATTTCTTTTGCCATTTTTACCACAGAGAACTTTAAAATTCTGATTTTTACTGAGCAGCGGCGTGCATACGAGAGCGCGATTGTTGTATGAGCGGGAGTGTGACGTCATCGAGTAATGAGCGCCCGCCCGCGTTTTTAAAAATCTTCGCTGGGAAACACGCACTTTGATCGTTAATATCTCAGCCAATTTTTAAGATATGAAAAAAGTAAAAACACAGTTTCTCTCGTATTATTTTGCAGATTTATTTGGCATGTAAAGTAAAAAACGTTTGTCAGACCCATTGTGTTCTGTGATGCGGATGACAGGTCACTATGTAGACCTGTCTCACTTCGCGCTTTAGTGATGTTCTCTCTGACTAGTGACTAGTATACAGTTATCTGTGGTGATGTTGTCACGCGCGCGCTCGAGAGGAGTTTTGGCGGGAATTTGACCGGCGGCGGTTTGCTGCTCCTGTTTTATTGTTTAAATAATGGTTTTAAGTGGACTTTGATATGTAAAAGTGGTGCGATTTTGTGTATTAAGTGTCTGCGCATGTGAACTATTAGTGGAAACTGTGAAACAAGTGCTCTGATAGTGATGTGATTCTCAAAATAAGGTGCCTGTCTGCTTAGGCGCCTTGAGATACCATCGCTAACCGTCAGCTGTCTGCTGGCTCAAGTTGCCGTCTAAATCTCCCAAGGGCTGCACAATGTGACGCATCAACATATTATGAAGCAGTATACTATGAAGAATAATTATTATAATATAATATTGTAACTTCAGGCACAGAAGGGCTAGATCCCAGAGCCGTAAAGCCAGTTATTAAGAAGAAGAAGAAGCGCTCGAGTTGACGCGCACCTTATGTTAACAAAATAGTATTTTTCTTCTATAAGTATTTGCATTTATAGTGGTGGGTAGTAGCGGCTTTTTTGGGTAACGAAACGAAACTATCTATCGAATATCAATAACGGCTTTTGAAACACTCTATTTTAATAGAGGGTTTTGAAACACTCTATTTTAATAGCTGCTTCAATAGTGTTTCGCGACGTGTTTAAAAACGAGGCGAATAAAACTATAGCCGTTTCACGAGAAAGCTTGATTAGTTTGTTTGGTGTTCCCGTTTCGTTAAGATTACTGTTATCGAGATTTTAGTGTTGATTGAGTAGAAGATTTATATTGCAATGAAATTTCCTTCATGCTTTATCCAAGCTTAGGACTGGCTGGTGACGAGTTAATTAAGTAACAACCAATACTTAAATTAAATTTAAATAAAATAACAATACATATATGTAATTGTATTCGCCTCTATTCTTACTACAAATATTATTATTGTTGCACAAAACAAAATCTACAATATTAGCAATAAAAAACAAACCGTGTCATCAAACATGAGACGAATTTAAACTGGGTCAAGAGTCAAGACCACGCAAATTCAAGCAATTCGAAAATATTTGTTATATAAAAATAACATGCACACTTACTTTCTCATTTATAATATCACATTTATCCGAAGATAGGTCAAATGCACAAGCAATGTAGGTGGGTGTGAAAGAGACAAAACTTATCACCCGCGCTCACTAGACATTCGATGGCCGGTGGTACTTCAAAAGCCGAAGCCTTTGTCGATCCGTCGCGAAAATAGCTGAATAAACGATTTGTTACATTTCGTTCTGATCGCTCGTTCGTGAAACGTGAATCGTGTTACTGAGTATAACGTCAACTGTAATAGATAGTTTCGTTGGACTGCAATAACCCGCTATTGTATGAATAGATAGTTTCAATAACTAGTTACGTTTTGTAACGATCACTCCTAGCATTTAGGCACTTTAAGACATTGTCGAATGCATCCAATCGACATTTAATAATATTTGGTTTTAGTAAATTTTTGAGCTTATCGTTACTATTAATATATTTTGAACAATGGTGCAATTATATTCAAGCAAGGTGCAGTTTCTTTATACTGTAAAAAGTACCCAATTCTAATTATTTGAAGTAATATCGACGTTATAACGTGGACGATCTTTAACTATTTTTTATTTCTAAACTACATGGGTGCAATGCAAACAAATGGGTGGGGGGTTTTTAACGTAGACTTTAAGTTCTGTAATTAGAATTAGGTACCTACTTCTGTAGTAAAATGATTACATACCTAATATATAATTTTTTCGCTATGTATTATCTAAGTAGCTTGGGTATAGATTTGTACAAACTCGGTACCAACAATTTTGGGGTCGACCGTACTTAATAATTATAAGTTCCTATCTAACAAAATTTTAATTAAGATGTAAACTCACTTTTCATTATCCTTCGGTAACGAAAAAAATGATAATTTGGAATCTTTTTGTTTGCCATTAAGCATCCATCCACGCAACAATTGTAGTAGAAACGACGCTTTCCATTATAATTTTTCAAATAGGTAGGTAATATACATATAAATTACTTTTAAATAACACTAAAACTTATTTAACTATTTTAACCTACAAAACTATTTTAATAAGTATTTACTTACAAAAAACTATTTGCGTAAATAAGTATTAAACACTTTGAAAATTACTACCTATATAGTAAAGTAAAACGCTCTCCTAGAACGCGCTAACCCCGAGACTGCATAAATGTAAAGGTGGCTACTGACCTGCCTGCCGCAGGGGCAATCTAGGGCGTAGGAGTGGGGATGACCCTTAATTGCCTCCTTAAATGTGATGTGTGTAGGCAAGCAGGGGCAATTTTTAAGTCAGCCCTGCGGCAGGGCGGCAGGAGCGCAGTGTTGCAAAAGTTCCCGATTTATCGGGAGATCTACTGATTTTACTTAGTATCTCCCGATATCCCGATTTAGCGAACATATCTCCCGATTTTTTTACATTTTCAACTAATGTAAAATAATAATCATAAATAAAATTGAAAAGTAATAATCAAAATACTAAAATGAACTTTTAACACAAAATCTATGTACAGGGACTTCCCAAAATTGCTCGCACCACGTCCTATGGGACCTATACCTATAACCTTATTAGGTTTTTAACTTCGCGGTATGGTTAAAGCATATTACACTGATACATCTTAAAATAGAGTTCATTATTTTCTGGTAAGTGTACGGGGGAGATCCCTAAAGATTACTTTGTTCGGGTTGTTTTACGAATTAGGTAGCTTAGGCCATGTATATATAGTGTTGTTAATTCATAGAATTACATTCACTAATTACTAGCCTTCTTCTGTTTTGTTGATAACTGTTGTGCTTTATGTCCAAATTTGTTAGGTAGCATTAGTTATCAAAAAATTAATTTAGAATGGCGTTTGCTTCTAAATACGAAAGAAATTAAATCACTCAGTGCAGAAACAGAAGAATTTTGGAGAAGCGTGAGTAGCAAAAATATATAATCATACAATTTTAGTTTAAATTATAAAGACATTATTTTGATCGCAAAAAAATGAAACGAAAAAGAACGACATCTAAAACAACGTTTTATGACACATTTCTAAACCCATGGATGTAAATAAAAATCTCCCGATTTCTCCAGATTTTTAGCTGGCAAATCTACCGATTTTTTATTTTTCACTTATGCAACACTGCAGGAGCGCAAGACCTTCCTTGCTCCCTAGATCGGCCCTGTAGGACAGTTACTATACTCTTTGGCCCTGCCGCTGTTGCGTGTGTAGCGCAATTGGGCCAATTTCGTTCAGTTCGTTGAGACTTTCGCGAGGAGCACACGTATGAGTACAAGTTAGAACCGCAGAAAGAACGTTATTTGAACGTTGTAACTTACAAGTAACATTACTGGGATTTGTTACCTAACTTATCGTACGGGCTAGTATGGGAAAGTAAATATTCCAATAATATTAAAATTGCTGGAATATAAATAAAATAGCATTAAATAAATATTTAAACAAAATTGCAAATTTTAGTAAATAAATTTTATTAAAACCATCATAAGAAAACTATCCTGGCTATTTGTAACACTAGTTAAATTATACCTAGTTACTAAGCACTAGATAGTTAAGTTATATCACAGAACAAATTGGTATATAACCAATTTGTTCTTACTTAACTTAACTTTATTTTACTTAACTTAAATGACGACGAGTAATGTTAGTCATATTTAATTGTCTTTGATAGCCTAAAAATAGCGTGGCAGAGCTATGCTGCAGCTTCTAAGCACTATATTATGGTTGTAATTATTAATTAATTGGTTGTTTTATTGATAAATGTGGATGTCTAAAGGCCACAGTGTCCACTTACCATCAGGTGGACTGTGCTCATTTGTCACCCTTATTCTATATAAAAAAGAGCCAAGGACATATATACTGATTCATTGATATTTCGATAAAACAGTCTACACGTTAATTCCCGACGTTTCGGATGTTTTACCACCCATGGTCACGGGGGACTGGTTGCTGTAAAGCATCCGAAACGTCGGGAATTAATAAAAAAAATTAAACGCGATAGAATCCATACAAGCAGCTTTAATCAATGAGTAGTGTTCGCGTAAATATATGAAATCATTAAAGTATTTTTTTTTTCTATTATAGGCGTTACTAAGCTTAATAACTCGTCGAATTGGTATTCACCTACTCTTTAAAATAGTTTCGTCTGTTGAGTCCAAAACGCTGACTATTTGCATATTCGATAGTTTTTCTCTGAGGAGCAAATATTTTTTCATCCACATTTAACTTTCCTTCCTTTTTTTACCTTGGCCTTGCACGTTACCGCCAGCCAAAGTTTTTTTTTATAGGATAGAGTGAAAAACGAGCACACAGTCCACCCGATGGTAAGTGGTTGCTGTGGCCCATAGACACCTACATTTATCCTCGTATGCGAATCAAAATGCAGAAGCGTTGTCACCCGTGAGGACTGAGATGGAATGCCTCTTTTTCAGTAAAAAGGGTCTCCGGTTCTCTACACTCACCATACGAAACACAGCAGTGTTAAGCTGCTATTTTACGCTGGCATTCTGTGAGAGCGTGGTCCTTCCCCGGTCAAGCCGACCCATTCGTGCTACAACTATACTACTAATATAGCTGTAGCATGGCTCTACCACGTAAAAAAAACAATAAAGCAATTTTTTGAAGTATAGATAAAGTCTGCGCCATAATGCTAGACGTGCAATCATTTCCACGTTCGAGTAACAACTGAGGCAGGAAGCGATTTCTAGCGTAGTGTAATAAGCAGCGCCCTGTCTGGTAGGCAGGGCACACGATAGAGAGGGCCCGATAAATCGTGTAATGTAATAAGCCTTTTAGTGTTACCCGAGGTTCCGCCAGTGCTACCAACTCCAAAAAATATTTACCCCTAAAGGTTAAGTCAAAACCCCCTAAAATTACCTTATTTACATGAAAATCCCCTTACAGTAAGTGCAATACTTTATATATAAATTATTTAATATTTCAAATTTTATTTCGTTTTTTTTTTTAGATGGTTCCGGCATGTTAAAATCATACATTTGGCTATAAACATACATTCCACTTAATCAATTAAATGTTATAAATGATGTGCTATTTCGTTGCAATGTTAATCAGATCATCATCATACTTGATAGCATTTTAATAGATAACGGGAAATAGCAACCTTGATAATTAATGCAATGTATGTTTTGCATTAATTATCACCCAAATTTTCAGACGTTTCCAAAAGGTTTATAGCCAGCTGCGCCGCAATCTTCGTAAACTTCTAAACAGAAATCAGCTGAAGTGGAAAAAACGTAAAAATTCCATTTCACTTATCCCTACCCCCTAAATTTTGGGGAAAACCCCCAAGTTGGGAACCCTGTTGAACGGATTGGTTCACAGAATACCTTTAACCCCATTCATTTTACCTTTATGTAAACTGAGATTGCATTTGTTTCTGTGACGCAGGTATAGCAAGAGACAGAGTCCTGGCTGAACTTATTGCAGAGAATAAATAAATAACTACGTACAAAAGTATTCTACTTAGTTTAAAATCTTGTGAACAAAGTGTTAATTTCACTATTTTGTGTTATTATAACTTAGGTATGTAAGTAGGTATTTGGATAGTGAAGTAAATTTCAACTAACTTTTGTAATAAAATACTTAGGTATTACTTCTGCAGTTAAATTATTACTTACCTAATTCTTTTTTTGCTTTAAGTACCTACCTATCTAACAAAAAAAAATTAATAAATTCACCTTTCCTTATCCTTCGGTAACTTAAAAAATGATATATCTGAATTATCCTTTTGTTTGGTCATTAAGCATCCATCCACGCAACAATTATAGGAGGAACGACGTTTTGCCATTATCACATTAAAACTTTTTCAACTATTTTATCCAACAATTGAATATACTAAACACAAATCAATAACTATTTCAACAAAAAAAAATTACGCAAACAGCGTTAAAAAACTTTGACATTTAATCGCCTAGAACGCGCTAGCCCCGACTGCGTATAGCCCGGGGCGCCTCACGATTGTAGGTTATTTCACGCAGGTAGCAAGTGACAGATGATGCTTATTGTAATGGCTCCAGTACACGTTGGCCGAGCGCGCTCGCCGAGTGCGTTCGGCCAACGTGTACTGGGCCGTTTTGTGTGTATTTGGCGTTTGCGGCCAACACTCGCCCACAAGCCGTATAGTGTCGTTTTTCCGTGCACAAATCAAAGAAATTTGGCGCAAGCCGCAAACAGCGATCACACGTAGGCCGAGTGTTCACTGTTCAGTTCATAGTTACGCGTCGAAGTAGACTGTAGTGTCGGCTTAATAAAATTGTTTCAACATAGCGACATGGGACTAATGAGGAAATATTTATTTATTTATTTAACAGTTTATGTACACACATAATTCGATAGGAAAATGGTAAAAACATAATTATGTACAAAGGCACTGCCTATTCCATGATGAAATTTCTTCCAGCAGGCCTATTGAAGGATAGTTGAAGGAAATAGAGGTAGTCAGTGTGCACTTACATAAATATACATATACAATACAAATATATACATATACACACACACACACACACATATATATATATATATATATATATATATATATATATATATACGAATGTATATATATAAATAGATATTATATATTATGAAAAAATATATAATTCATTATAATATATTTTTATGTTACTTATATGCATACCAACACATTAGGATTTAATAATTATGGAGTGAAATATTGATTCATTGTTCGTTCATTGATTCTCACAATGAATCAGTTATATGGAACACCAAACATGACCAACATAAAAATAAAACCAGAGTAAGTAACTTGCCTAACTGCATTAAATAATACATGTTTAGTTGCGATTTCTTAGTACCTACCTAATGATAAATATTATTATAAATTATCTCTGCGTTTATGTTGCTCAGGGATAATGTAGCTTAGGGGCTTCTTTTGGGCTATCATTTATTTTGAAAAAACCCCCAGCGAAGCGGGCATGGGTCAGCTAGTAGATCCTATAAAGGTTTCTTTTTTACTTTTGAGGTCGGAACCCTAAAAAGGACAAACTGGGATTATTGTTGTATGTGTAGTTCTTTTTTCGTTCACTCTGAGAAGAGTGAAGCGCTGTATAAGTATATGACAGCGGCCGCGATTGCCCTAACGTCCATCATCATCTAGCTACCAACGCAGAATGAAACACGCCAACGTGTGAACGGCACCACGAAAATCTGCCGAGTGCGCTCGCCAAGCACGCTCGGCCAACGTGTACAGAGCCATAAGATGTAAGAACACTCACACAAACATGCACATAAAACCATGCTCTCAAAATTCTTGAGTTTTTGTCGCGACCGGCGACGAAATTGTATTTAGTTAATTTTTGGATGGAAAATTAAACAATCATGTATTTATAAAAATATTACTACACCAATAAAAAAAAATCGATACAATAACTTTTCGCATTAGTACGTTTTCAAATATCATCGTTTTGTTTTAAAACTTTCTTTGGTTGTTGACAAACTAAGTAAAACATAATATATTTGCTTTCATATATCGCTATCCTTTGTAATATTGTATTTAAAAAACTTCACAATATGCTGATTAATACAAGGTATGAAATAAGTTATTGTGAGATTTTTAAGACAGCTTTACACAGCAGACCAGTCGACCGATAAATAATGACAGTATCTCAAGTTTATAAGGTGTCTAAGCAGACAAAATAAGGTTTATATCAAAAAAAAATTGAAGCATTGATTTTGTGGTTTCTGCTAATAGTTCACATGCACAGACACTTGAATATATAAAATCACATTACTTTTACGTATCAAAACCATACTTCAAACCATTATTTAAACAATTAGCCAGGAGTGTAGTAGAGCCACATTGCAGCTATATTAGTTGTAGCACAAATGGGTCTACTATACTAGGTTACGACCACAGTCCCACAGATTATCAGTGTAAAATAGCAGCTTATGGCTGCTGTGTTTCATATGGTGAGTGTAGAGAACCGAAGACCATTTCTACTGGAAATGAGGCATTCCAACTTAGTCGTCAGGGTTATCAACACATCTACATTTTGATTTAATTGAGGATAAACGTAGATGTCTATGGGCCACAGCATCCACTTACCATCAAGTGAACTGTGTGCTCGTTTGTCACCCTTATTCTATAAAAAAAAGGAACAAGAGCAAAAATCCACCAGTGGACAATTAAGTTGCTGCCAAAACTCCCTTTAAGTGTTGTGCTAAAATGGTTAACAACAAGCCTTCTGACAAAGATGCCTTGCTAGTTTCCAATCATGTAGTGTACACCGAGGTGTTTTGACCACTCCCAGAGTTGAACACCTTACCCGGCGGGAGGTTTAACTTTTTGCTTTCCAGCCAAAATGTGGACTAACAAATGTGATACAAACATGCAACCAGCAAACATAGGAATCTCAATTTCAAGAACTTCATTTGATGCTGGGGGTCTATATTCTACATACAGTTAGTCGAAAATGCTAGCTTGTAGAACCCTGTTGTTACTCCATAAATTTTAACTTATAGCTGTTATATGTCAACACATTAAATTAACACTTTCACAGCGGAGCATTTAAGGTGCCGCTTGATACGGTACGCGGGCGATTTTCTGTATATTTGTGAATGTCATATAAACTTAACTAAAATGAGAACACTGATAATTCTTTTTGTGTATATAAGATATACTATTGCAGTTTATGATTAGTAAATAAAAATACATTATATTATTTTTGTTATAAAATAATATAATGTATTTGTAATTTTTTAAAAAAAAACAATATAGTCCTTTTTTTGAAAAAAAAAATAAGTGTTACATAATGTATATGCCTCTTTATAGATGGTAATTCTTTACCGTGTGATATTTTTTAAAACACGGGTCATTGCACAGTGGCACATTATAGTCCGGGCAGTAAAAAACAGTCTCCTTGCGTCCTCGTTTTCCAGTTTCGTGTTTGATAGTGTCGGCACAAACTTTACACACTCTCGTCACTTTTGTCTTCTTTTCTGTACTTGGAATTCTTTCAATGAAGTGTCTTCCCACTAATCTCGAAGTCTTGGCGATCAGGTGAGCTCCATGAGATGGACCTGCATCATCAGTAGACCTAGCTGGCACAATGCCTTCACCACAAGCCATCAAAAATTGGGAAAACCGCAATTGGCGGCGTGCAGGCTGCTGTTTGTTGTAAATTACCATGGAGTTCACCATGGCCCTTGCCACTAAATGGAAAAACATTTTTTTCCACCACTTCATACATTTCCTTTGCAGGGCATAATAGGACACGTATTGGTCGTTCAGGTCTACACCGATTTTATTTTTATTGTAGTCTAAGACGCAGTCCGGTTTTATTTTTTTTGCCAGACCTCCTTTAGCTTTTACAGTCACCTCTGTCCAGGTTGCGGCGTGTTTGGTCGTCAGGAAGGGGACGTCCCGCTTGTCTTTCCACTTACAGGCGGTGAGATTCCCACGGTGACAGAAAGACATTTCATTCACCTCCAAGAGCTGTTGTCGCCATTCTTGGGGCAAGCCACGCCGGTTCGGCATCACAGTGCCGACAACACGAGTATTTTTCAGCCAGAGTAAGTCTGCAACCGTTGGGCTGGAGAAAAATCGATCCATATATATCGTGTGCCATTTTTCAAAGTACGGTTCACTTAGTTCTGTGACTATTTGCTCAACCGTTTTGGAATCACCGACATATGGAACCATGTTCAAAATATACCCCGTCGCTGCGTCACATAACATATAAATTTTCATTCCGTATTTGTCGGGTTTATCTTTATTGAAAACTCGGAAGTGTACTCTGCCTCTAAAGCCACACGTCCCTTCGTCAATCGTCAAGGCTTCCCCAGGATAAAAACTGGTAGCACACAGCCGACAGAGCTCGTCAAAGTATGGCCGTAGCTTGAAAAAGGCGTCGTAGTTATCTTGACCCCGAGGTATGTATTTAGAATTGTCGTTCAGGTGTAGACAACTGTAAATAGCCCTGAAACGATCTCTATTCATCAGTTTGGCCGCATATGGGGTGTGTATAATTTCTCTTGTGGACCAGTACGCGTCAAAGCTTTCTTTATGCACTAGCGACATATGAATTATTATGGAGAAAAAAAGTTTCAGCTCTTCCAACGTAACGGGTGTCCACTTATCGAGCATACTCCCTGGTTTTAGCAGTCCTCGTCTAGCCAGCTTGGTCTTCATCTGCGCGGCATATCGATTCGTTTCAGTTTTCAGGAACTTCCAAAAATCGTTTGTGAAAAAGACTGAAAAGCAGTCGATTTCTGATGAATTCTCATCTATGGGGGCTAAGACACGACATACTTCTTCGAAGACAGGGTCTTCTAATGGACGTTCTCTTGGCACATACGTCCATCCATTGGCCTCGTCCATTTCTCTTAGAGTAATCTGCATTTGTGAAGATCGCCCGTGTGTAGTTGAGCGCACTGTGCCGCCGCGCTGACGCCCGCGCCGAAACCTTCTCTGTGTACGCTCCCGAGTACGCCCTCGCTGGTTGACCGGTTCACGAAATTGCTCCTGCTCCTCAACTGCACCATCATCGTGCCTTTCTTGACTGGCCACAACCACTTGCAGGTCAGACAACAAGTCTACAAAAGAAATTTCTATTGAAAGCATACTCAATACGGAAATGGTTTACCTACATAGAAATAATATAAATATAAATTATTATTTACCTTCAATTTCTTCATTCTGAGCCTCCTCAATATCAGAGTCATCATCATCCTGTAAAAATCAGCAATCTCGCGCATAGAGATCGCACGATTGCGCTGTGAGGAAGCCATTTCGCGCCAAAATGCAGTAACGTTCACCCTGTTTACTCGCCAGCGGCAGACTGAGCGGGCGGCGCGGGGTATCGCATATTGTAGCTCTCCTGTTCCCGCTTCGCACATGTATTGCAGATGTGTGTATAGCTTATAAACTCGGCTACAAATGCGTACCCAGAGAATCACGACTAGGCGACGTGATTTTATAATAAACAGTATGAAAGGCGGTAACGAGTGCCGCTCGTGATTCGCGAGTTGGAGAAAAATATGAATGCCGAGCGGTACTCGTGATTCGCTGTGAAAGAGTTAATGATATAAAACTAAGAATTCAAATTTATTTTATCAACATCCCACTAACTCTTTACATACAGTCACAGAGAATACGATACAATATAATATAATTCAATATTTTATGTATTTGTTGATATGCCATAGTAACTCAGAGTAAAGCTTCTGTGTAGGCATCAATGAAGTATTAAAATGTAATTTTGTGCTCATTTACCAAATGTTCTGTGGTGAATCTTGATCATCATCAATAAAATATTTCAGTGTGAAGTCTACCAACATACAATGGTATATAATCACAGCAGTCTAATTGTTCCAAAACCATCTCCGAGATGAGAGGCCTGTTACAATTTTCATCCTCAATTTTTAGGAAGCAATATAGTGTAATATTAGGTTTACAGATAAAACATATGTATTAAGGGAAGAAAATTAAATAAATATAACATTTATTAGCCCATTCTTAAACTATCTATTATACAAAGAAGGTTTAATAAAAATAATTTTAACAATAAATACTTAGGTTAAGTCAATTAGTTTGAAGATGTAACATTTGATTCTTTTCGAGGATGCTCTTCTTCATACTTTTTGTGCCAATCTAAATTCATTTGATGGACAGATTCTCCTCTTTTAGCAGCTGATTTTCCAGCAAAAATAGCACCTAAACTAGCTAGAGCAGTAAGGAGCATTAATACATTGGCTATCTTAATTCTGGCTTCACTACGTGATCTGTCAATAACTTCAGCTCTATAACAAAAAAAGCTTAGTCACCAGCAGATAATGACACAATATATCTGACTAAAATTTAATTTAATACTTTACTATTATGTATCAATAGAATAACATTAGTAAAAATGCTTAATTAAACTTACGATACGAATGTCGGAATCTCATTTTTGCTCTTATATTTTTTTGTCCAAACAAGGATTGTTTTTTGGAATTCTGTTGGTCTAAACCTACGAGACATGGAGCGGTTTTCAGATGTTGGATTTGACCCAGAGGCGGGTGCACACATGGCCCTTCTTAGCAAAAATATTGGAACCCTGTTTATTAACAATTTATTCATATTCATTTTAATTAAAAGTTACGTTGTGTGCCTTTTGATAAAAAATGATATAATGATATAATATAAATTATAAAATTTATATTGATTTGACATTGTCAAATGTCAATACTTTTTTTATAACTGGGTTTACGGCTCTGGGTTCTAGCCCTCCTAAGCCTGAAGTTAAAATGTATAATTACATTCTTCAAAAATTCACTTCACATAAAAACTATAATTAAAAAAGTAACTTAATTATCATACAGTCCTACTCCCCACAATATCGTGCCAAGAACGCTGGCTACGTTTCCCCGCTGAATGGCTATACTTAGCCTTTGAGCGAGAAAAGAACCAACCATCTTATCACCAGCAGCAACGACCAGCCGCGGATGGAGTTCCTTTAGGAACTTCACCGCACTTGGACCCCACGGACCCATAGTCTCTACAGCAATGGCACAAATATGTAGTCATCTATCAGAGACTCATGCGCCACTAAGTTCAGCTACCTCTGATGCCGCCACGGCTCTAAACGAGGTACCCCTGAGATGAGAGGCCGCCAGAATGTCTACGCAAGTAGCATCCTACACTAGGGCTTTACCTCCCTCCCAAGGGACCAATGTCATACCATCGGGTCTCCTGCCATCGTCTCTAAATGTTTCACAAGGCTCTAAAACCGAGGGAACATTTATAGAGACAACAGCCCTTCGGATGACATCGTTCAAAGAACCGTGCCGTGAAAACCTACAAGCACTTTTCTTACATGAAAGTCCGTGGAGCCCAAACTTGTTGACGCTGCTACACCATGGGCACTGTTGGGGTTGACAAATCACCGCTCCTAGTCGGATTCCTACGGCGATGCGCAAGTTTTCCCCATCAAATAATGTACCAAGATTACTTGATGGTAAAGAGTGTAACCGGTGACTATATTCCTTAGTCGAAACAGCTAGAAAGCGTGCCTTATCTTGGTCACTATGGAAATTATGAAACAAATCCTTCTGCACGCCCTGTACGAATGGAATATCCCACTGTTTTTGTTGGTTAACTTCCAGTGGAACATTTTCACTGGGACAGAGCGTTTGCCATGTCTGCCCTGCCTCCGTAGCAAAGCACAGGTCTACTTTATTATATAAAATTATGTTACATAAGTCACTGACACTATGCACGGAAGCAAGGAAAGCAGGCAATGCAACGCTAGAAAGATTTCTCACACCAATACCACCTTATTTTATAGGTAAAGTAGCTTGAGTCCAAGCTGTTGTATTTAAAGTCAAATTTAGAATTTTTTCTATAGCTATTTTAAGATTAGGTACTATCAATATCTTTTAAAATATCCGAACATTTCCAGACTGGACTCGAGCGGAGTAAGTATGTAAATCTAGGTACAAGAAGACAATATATTTTAATTATTTATATTTCTTACTAACATCTACCATTACAGGAAAAAAACCTAAATCGATAAATGTAGCATCTCCAACACCGTAAAAAACAATATATAAAGACTCCAAAGCTTCCTCTGGTTCCTGTGTCTCGTTAATCAAACTCCAATCGGCGGAAGCTAATAAAGAATAAAATAAGTAAAAATCAGCTTTATAAAAATACCATTGAGGTTCAGTTTGGCTTGTTGATGTCTCACGGTATAAAGCAACGGGCTCGGCTGCCACGGGCGGCAACGGCGCCCCACCAGCGCCGAGCTCCAGGGTCACCGCGGGCGGTGGGTGATACGAGTCCACCGGCATTAACGTCTTGTCAGCTTCGCATACTTGTACGTCATCACTTAATGCTAACGAACACAACACAAGTCTAATTGACTCTGATTGCAATTAAGTACTTTACTCATCTGAGCAAATTCGCAAAAGGACTTAAAATATTCAAAATAATTTTTAACATTATCATTACTTGAATTTAAGTTAAAATCACCTATCAAAATAATATTTTTATATTTAACACATAGTTGTTCTAATATCCTAAAAACATCATGTACACATCTTTATTAGTCTTAGGCGGGATGTAAACAACGCAACATAAAAATAAACAACTTTAGCGTGTACTGTCGCACAAACCAGTTCAAATGAGGAGTTACCTATGTTTACGTCACCCGATGCATTCACTCGTCGCAGCTGCAACCCGTGTGTGGCCACGAGAAACGGGCCGCCTAGCTTACGGTCGTCCGCTCAATCACACCTTATTATTTCATAAATCGTTGGCACAATATCCATTATAGAATCGTTGCATCCTGTTTACGTAATATCAATTATATCGGCATTTAATGATTCAATATTGTTACAAAAACAGTTTAACTTTCTACGAAGACCCCGTACGTTTTGGTAGTAAAATTCAAAATTGGTATTTTTCTTTAATTGATTTGTTTGTTGCTTTTAGAAACCAAATCCACTCGCAAAATTCGGCATTGATGGGCTTGACACAACTTTTCATACATTAACTCTGATACTGTTATGATAAAAGAAGCGTAATTCTTCTCTGTCTTATGCTTAATTTTCTCGATTATAAAATTAGCATCTGAACCACACACGCCTTTGACATGTGATGTTAATTTCTCATTTGTAGTTTCTTTAGTTAAACACCAAACGTGAAGGTGCCGCTTTTTTACAGTAGTCTGTATATCTACTAGAACCGTATTATTTCCTTTCTTCACATTTTTTGATTGGAAACTTCCCCTTTTCTTATGAACTGTAGTCCACTCATGAAATTTATTCATCCTTTCTTCTTCTTCACTAATATTAATATTTAACTCGTTCCTCGGAATCACCTATGACTGTGGCTGATTAATTAGTTGAGACTGGACATCGGACCCTCTCCCGGTGGCTGCTTTCGTGGCCGCACGCGTCTTTGTTACGTGGGGAGTAATGTTTGTTTTGTTAACGTTATTTAGGCTTATACGAGTCACATTAGCGAACATCGATTTGCTTAGACATTTCGACGCCTGTATTCAAACTTTCCGGCATACTACAAACAGTTGATTTTGAGTTGACAACAGATCCGTTTGGGCAAACCTATCTTGAAATACCTTCATTTTAATCTTGAGTTCTTCTAATTCTGTTTTTGTAGAAAAACATATTTCTTGAAGATGTTTAATAATGTTAGTTTGCACGTCTAATCGGCTTAATACTTCATATTGAAACTGTCTAAACTCAGACAGAAAATTATCATCACTATTATTATTATCACACTCGATAATTGATTCATCCATCAATTTCTTGCGGCTTCCCCGTTGAGTATTGACATTGGCACTGGGTGTGAATGTTTTTAGCTCCGGGATGCTTCTGATAGATGTATCCAGGTCATAGTGTTTAGGTTTAGAACAAACGCACTCCGGACAGACCTATTGCTTCGTGTGTTTATCCGAGAAGGAACTGAATTCATTTTGTGTCACTCCTAGGCACTTTAAATCATACACTTTTTTGCACTGTTTTTGGATCACTTCATGTAAAAACCATCAGGCACTTGGACACCACAAGCCCTACAATCTACAGACATTATAACTATTTTTAAAGTAAATAATTATACACAAGCGCATAAATTATTGGAAAAAGAAATATTTCACATTTATTGCTATTTGGTTCAAGACCAATATTTTTAAAATTTCGAAAAATATGAGTAAGATCACTGCGGACGTCATCTGCTCTACATCCCAGTATACCGTCGTCCAGATAGGTACCAGACCAGTTAACTCCGCCGTTGCCGGTCCCAAGCCCGGATGAGAAAGGAGGAGGGGACGAATCCGCCGGAGAGAGTGGGTGTATCCGGTGGACTAACACACCCACCTGCGCTAGGACCTGCGCAGTCGAGCGCCGTACGCGGGGATGAAGGAGTCCTGGAGGGTTGAGCCGATCGTCGCTGGGGTATATAGTGGCGAGAGGCAACACGCCCTCTTTGGTCCGGATTTCAAGCTAAACGGTGGCCCTATCTGCTAGCCACAGATAGGGAAATGGCCAAGCGCCCCGTCAGAGGGTCGCAGGCGAGGGATGTGGGGGCTGCCTAGTCTTCCTGAAAAGGGGGCTGGGTGGTGGTAAAGGCCATGCTGACGGAGCAAGTGACAGTTTATTCGGGTGGTGGGGATGGGCCTTGTCAGCCCCATCTACCAGCTGGATCGAGCTCCCGATGTCGCGCTGTGAGCCAACTTCGCGTCCCTATATTCTCCCGGTAATCCTAACGCCTGAAATTCCTAAAGTAGGGCGTTCCCAAAGGTGCGGGCTCCATGGAGGGTGGGAAGCCGGGGGGATGAAATTTTAAAAAACACAAATTATGGACAATTTAAGGCCCAATAAGAAGGAGGGAGAGGTGTCAGAGGTGCTTACCAGAGACACCAAAGAACAAAAGGGAACCGTCACTAAACCGACGGTTCCACGGACAGTACCGTCCAGCGTAGGTGCCCCCACCAAAGGAATAACCTCGCTGAACGTTTCCGAAACCAGTTCCAAGGAGCTGGAAGAGAAAAAGAAACAAGAGCCCGCAAGTGATAAAACTGCGGAGCCACTACGGACTGACGACCTTTTCTCTGCTGCCTGGCAAGTGGTGAGCCGTAAGGGGAAAGGCAAGGCACCCAAAAAGGTGTCTTGCCGACCTGACGGACCATCAGGAGGGTCTATCCCTGCAGGCAGTAGTGGAAAGGCCAAAAAGAAGAACAAGAAGCAGCGGGAAAAAGGCCGTAGAGAACGAGCCGCATTGGCTGCTTCAGATACCAAAACCAAGGAGGCTGGGCAAGCTACTGCGACTGGGGTGCTTGGCGCTGGAACCAGTAGCCGCGCTGAAGCTGGGAAGGATAAAAATCCAGCCCAAGTGGAAGTCGCGGACGCGGGAACCAGCTCTAGGATATCTGCCAGGAAGCAGCGAGCGGCCAAGCGTCCTGGGAAGAAGGAAAGAGCAGCCAAAAGGATGCTGGAAGAGTCCACCTCGCCTAGAGGTGAACACAAAAAAGTGCGACTCGAACAGCAACCAAAGACTGCAAGAACGAGCTACGCTTCCGCTGCTAAAGCAGATTTGGGTGTGGCCTTAACGTGTGCGCG